GAATACAGTTGGAATTTGACCAAGGAGAGTTGAAATTTTGATAGAGACTAAACTAAGTCTGGGGAAACTCTATGTTGCCCTGTCAATGCGACCCTCGCTAATCCCCTTACAGTGTGGCCTGATAGCAAGAGTAGCCACATATAAATGAAGGTAAGAGTAGTCAATGACAAAGTGCTATAAGGTCACCAGAGGCATTAGTGAAGAGACTTTATAGCAAAAAGGGAACAAAAAACCTTTGCATCTTTCCTGGTTGGTTTTAACTGTCAACGTGACACATCCCAGAGTCACCTGAGATGGGAGTCTCAAATGAAGGATTGCCCAGATCAGGCAGCCTGTAAGCACATCCGTGGGAGATTGTCTTCATAATTAATTGCTATATGAGGATACAATCCACTGAGGGCAGCATCATTCCCTAGGCAGTCGGTCCTGGGTTATATAATGAAGCTAGTCAAACATTGGTCTGTAAACAAGCCAGAAAATGGCTTCCACTTCAAGTTCTTGCTTGAGTCATTGCCCCAACCCCTACCTCTCAATGATGGACTGTGACCTGAAAGTATAAGCCAAATGAATCCTTTCTCTAAGAGACACACTTTTGGTCATGGTATTTATCACAGCAACAGAGAGGAAATTGGGACAATATTTTAGGTAAAATAGTTAAACTGAGTCCTCATGCTGGAGGAATTTTTATAGTATACATCAACAGCTCTCACTAGTCTGAATGTAACTAGGGCTAATTAGTTTTGCATACTTGTAATCACTGAAAAAGAAGGGACAACGGATTGGTAGATAGCGGCTCCCTTCTGTTAGTGCTCTGCCTGTGGAAATATCAGTTAGGTAAGTTGAACCATCCCAGAATAAGAAGTGGCAGGAAGTTGTGATGGCTTTTCTTGGTTGTCAACTTGACTACACATGGAATTAACTAAAACCAAGCAGATGGAAACACCTGTGAGGGGATTTTATTAATTAAATTATTTGAAGCAGGAAGACCCACTTCTTTTGATGTAGGAAGATCCAGGCAACACCTCCTTGTGGCACTGTATATAAAGGACATGGGAGAAAGAAGCTTTTGCTCTTTTCCTGCTTTCCCTCGCTCTTGGTAGCAAGTCCATTCCTTCCCTGGCACTAGAGCTCATTTCTTTTGGATTCTAGAGTATAATGAAGACCAGCTGAGACATCCAAGCCTGTGGACTGAACAACTACCAGATTCTGGATTTTCCATTGGTGGATAGCCTTTTTGGACTAGTTGATCCACAGCTTGTAAACCACACTGATAAAACCCCTTCATATAGATCCATCAATGCCATTTCTCTAGAGAACCATGACTAGTACAGAAGGGAAATAAATATCCTAGTGCCTGCATTTTACTGGAGGTAGTGGTTCCTGTGTAAAATATCATGACAAGCATACTAAAACATTAAGTTGATTAGTTGTTCATAGTTAATCCCATGCTATAAAATTGTATTCTTGTGCATATACATGTTCTCATCACAAAGTCTAAGTTTAAATAATGAAAAAAAAATTCTTGAGGAAGGAAGGCGATCAAAACACTCACAAAATAAGCAAAAAGGTCTACATGTTCCCTCTTTGAAGTTATAAACCCATTAACAGCCACTAGGAAGAGGACCAGGTTGAGCCTGCCACACTGTCTGCAAGTTGGTCAGACAGCCTGAGGTATGTAGTTTCCATAAATTGTCACCCTGTTGTGGTGGGGTCCTCAGTAGCATGGCTGCCTTGAGTCACCCATGTCCTTATAAGTAACTCCTCACTCACACACCTGCAGGAAGAAACCCCAATAACCTCACTGGTTTTCTCAGATTAAAAAAATTATCAAGTATGAATTTTTGTCTGCCATTTCTAGGTGCTTGTCTCCATGTGGCCCTGACAATGGGGCTGTCACGGAGAACAAACATAGAAAGGACTGGCAGGTGTATTTGTCTACAGAATTTCAGTTGTTATTTTATCTACTTGCCCCAGCCCCCTTTTCTTTCAAAGATGAATAGTTAAATTTCAACAAATAGAAAGTCTGTATGATGTGGTTTTTACCATAGTCAGCCCTATTTCCAAAGAGTTATGCCAAAGAGTTGGTCATATGGAGTGTGTTCCTATGAGGTCAGTTTTGATGGCTTTTTAAAAAATTGGTTTTTCCAGACAGGGTTTCTCTGTTTAGCTTTGGAGCTTCCAACTCAGAGCTCCGCCTGCCTCTGCCTCCTGAGTGCTGGGATTTTAGGCGTGTACCACCACCGCCAGGCTTGATGGCTCTTTTTAACAAATGTAGACTTGGTTTTTATTCCAGTCACTGAAAACTGAGTGCTGTTTTCCTGTTACTTCTCCTGACTCTGGATGCAGCTATCCACCTCAGCATCCACCACTTCTGCCAGTGAGGCCTGGCTCCATGCCCTGCTCCTAGCTCCAGTGCTTGGGGAAAGTGATGCTTCTCAGAGTACATGGAGTTCTGCCTGTGTGTAGCCAGATTATTTTGGAGTTACCAACCCTATTGTTCAGCCTGTTCCCTTATGCCTGGATCCAACCATCAAGGCTAGCAGGAGGCTTCAGTTCAATGACTAACAGGTTGGACTTCAGACAGGGTGTGAATCTGAGGTCCTGGGAACTGTTGTGATGAAAAGTTTCAGAGGATCTGTAATTGACCTCTTTTCCTCCATGATTCTTTCATGGATCAAAACTGCAGGAGAGAGCAAGATCGTTGTTGTGGCCTCTCTTGCTACAACTGACAGATAACCAGAGAGATGGGAATTTGAAGAGAGAATCATAACAGTGGGGATTGTGGCCTTTCCTTGACCCTAGCTGCCATCTTTCTAGTGTTTTTAGCACAGTGCTTGATACATAATATCCACTCGGTGGATAAATGTAGAAATAAATAATGAAAGAACAAGTGAATTAATGGAGGAGTGATGAGTGGTTCGTCTGCTTTACTCCTACATGTCTCAGTACCACCTGATCCCTGGCCAGAGGAATGGCAGATCACACCTATATCCTCAAATGCAACACCTCTCCTTTTGGGCTTTCCATGCATTTATCACATCACTTAGGTGAGTCTACACATCTAATTGAAGTTCATCACTTTTAGAGCCCCACAAGTGATACCAGCCACTACAGGGCCAGTGCTATAATTTCTTGAGGTTCCTGGCTAATCTTAGGGGCATTGCCTCAAGACAACCCTCACATCTCAAATGAGAAGTGTCTGCCGTCACCATGCTTGTCTTCTGCTCTCTGCTGCTTCCCATAGCTAGTAAGAATCCCGAGTGTCATCTGGGGGTTTCTGAGTCACAGTACCCTACAGTTTGCTGAGCATCTCCTGGTTCTAGAGACCTCTATCCCACCCTCTGCAAATTTAGCTAAATAGCCTATAACTCTTTCTTGCTAAATTTCTCAGTTGCATCTTGCTCATCCTGTATGGGAGTTGATTCAAATTAGTCCAGTCATTTCTTGGCATCTGTAGAACAGAGGTGTAAGGACCTCCTATGGGTACCAAAATCTGAGGTTTCTCAAGTTCCATATATGGCACAGTATTTGCATATAACTTTATCCAACTTCCCATTACTTTAAATAATGTCTGTTACTTAAAATCCCTAATACAAATGCAAATGATATGGAAATAGTTATACTGTAAAGTTCAGGAGATGATGACAAAGATAAACTTGTCTATAGATGTTCAGTCTAGGTACTGCCATCTTAGGCCTAAATATAACCTAACATGTTGTAGAACATTTTACAGCCTTAGCTGGTAGGACCCATAGATTGGAACTTATTGGGGCGGGGGGCTGACTACAATGGTCAGTCAGTTTCTAAGTACCTCTAAGTATAGGCTTCATACCATCTTTGTTCCTTTCCTTTATCCTCCCAATGCCTGCTTTCTGTATAAGTCACACTGTGACTACCTAAGTTTGTACACATGGGATCAGATTTTAAAAATTAAGAAAAGAACAGAAGGGAATGGTGGGAACCTCAAGATAAAGGAAAATGAAGGGAGTATGCATGAGCCAGATCATCTCTCCAAATGTATCTGCCTTGGCCAACAATGGCTGAAGGCAAAAGTACCTTCCATTCCCAAGTTACTGTCACTTATATTCCATGAACATTAAAAATATATCTCTCCCCAATGCTCATTATTGAACTTGGATTCTGGACCCCACCTTGGGTGACTTACTAAAATCAGACTCTGGAAGGCAGAAGAGACATACATCGTGGTTACTTTGTCTAACTTATGTTCCTTTGCTGGGATTCCCAGCATCCTGCCCAGGCAGCTGGACAGCTGTGTCTTATAAACCAACTCAGTGTCCATATCTGACTGTGTGAATCACCAAAGGCTCCATCAAAAGCATAGCTCATCAACTACACAGAGCTACCCAAAGTCAGGATCTCCAGAACAGAAACCTAGGAACTTGAATTTTCAGATAGCATTCTAATAAGCTTCACAATTAACCATGTTTTCTCTGGACATGTAATGCAGTAGTTCTTGACAGTGGCTGCATATTAAAAATCAGCTAGGAAGCTTTAAAAAAAATGTCAATGACAGGCCTTTACCCCTAGACATTTCTACTTAATTGGCCTGGAGTGAAGCCCAGGCAGTATAATATTTAAAGCTCCCAGCTGACTCTAATGGGCCGCTGGGGTTGAAAACCACTATAACAGCTTTCCAAACTGATGGTGAACCCTTTGGGAATAGTAACTGAGAACTGTACACCTATTAAAACACCTCACTGTGCCACACTACACCATGAAGATCCAAAAACTCTCCACAACAAGGTAATTGGATTTAGCTTGTTCATTCACCCATTGACAGAATGATAGGACAGAACACAATCTGCAGTAAGATACATTATTTCCAGTAAGCAAAAAAGTTAAGCACAAGGGGGACATGACTAGGCTCTGCCAAGTTCTAAGGTTGAATATAGACAACCCCACCTTTTCCTATTCCAAAAGAACTGAAACAGTACCAGGGTTCCACCCTATACCCCACCCCTCATCCACCAGGCACTCACATTGTACAGCACAGTGGTCCACCCTTCCATTGTGATGCATTGGAAGACAGTCAGCACGGCAAAAAGGATGTTGTCAAACTGGGTGATCCCGTCATTGGGGCCAATCCAGTCCTTACATTCATAACCAGCTGGGCAGCCCTGCACACCACATGGGTGGGGAGGATCGAATCCCTCTAGAATACCTGCAGATATATTTGGAGAGTGAGAGACAAAACATATGGTACTTAGCATGAACTAGAAATGACCGTAGGAAGTCAAAAGCAAGCAAAAGTCTCCTGCCATAGATAGAAGCTTGCCATCTTGGCCCCTGTATATTCCCATACCCTTGTGCAACTCAAAATGCTTCCGGACAAAAACAGAGCCTCTGTCTTTTTCAGACCCCAAGCTCTACTTTGGTCTACACTACCACAGAAATTCACAGGGCTGGTTCATACAGAAGACCCTGTGATAATGGCAAAGCCCAGGAATCAGGGTGGACCTTGGTTCTACCTGGGTTTCTCAGAGACAGTTGTAAACCAATGGTTGCTTTATTTTTACTAACTCTTTGCTTTTTGGGCATACATACATTTTTGGTTTTAAACTAAATGTAAAATAAAACTTATTTAGGTATTATTTTCATTAAAAAAAAAACATGGTACTTATTTAGGATTCTTTGACTTGTCCTTGATTCTTCCCAACCCCTCCATTTCTTCCTAGAGTATACATACCACTTAGCTTATGAGACACAAATATATGGGAAATGGGTTTTGAGTATCCCACAATTTCCAATGCACAATTGACAGGCCAACCTCAGAGATCCCTCATTCTTTCACAGGGAGGAGGGGAGTAAATGTGACATGGAATGTGACAAAAGGAAGCCCTTTATAGATCCATTGGGCCCCCATCTGACTCTGGTCTCTAGGGTCCCACTGGTCTATGGATCAAAAACCATTCTCTATAGTATGTATTCAGACTGATGCCTTTGATATGTGTTTTAAAAGCCATCTACCATGAATAGGAAAGCTGAGACTACCTATTTGAATGCTTCCAACCACAAATAAAGAGGCTACTACGTTGTTTTGCAGTGTAACTGTCACACGGATCTTTAAGCTGATTGTACCTCAAAAGTCCAGAGACTAGGAAGTTACTGATTGTAATTCTAGAGTTCGAATAGAGTGTATGTTTTTTAAAAGGCTCCAAATACCATGAAATTGTGCTCATGACCAAAGAGAAGAAGTAGGGAAACAGGAGACACATAGCAATGCCCTTACCTGAATTGTTCATGAAGCATGCTCGATGTAACTTGCCACTGTAGAACTCCAAGCCAATGATGGCGAACATGAGGATGGCAAAGAAGAGCAGAAGGCCAATCTGCAGAAGAGGCACCATGGCCTTCATGATGGACTTCAACACAATCTGTAGGCCTAGGGAGAGGACAGGGAATGAAGCACAGCCCTCATCCGTTGCCTCCTGACTAGGTGGATTGTTTACCCTCTCCTAGGATGGCAAGTCTTCCATGGAAAAGGAACCATTAATCCTGAGATGATGGGTGCCATTCATAAAGAGATAACCAAGACATGTCGAACTGAAGACTGACCCCACCTATTCTCTTCCGTCTCCTTCCCCTCCTCCTCACCACTTCCTGATCAATTGCTAACATATTACCCTCCTTCCATTTCCTCCATGCTAATTTGCACAGATTAAATCAGGTCAACCCCTGCTAGGGTAAATATCCTACAAAATAGGGGCAAAGTCAAGCCTTTCTATTACTCTTTCTCAGATCCAGCTCTCTGCCCACTGGGGAAGGAGCACAACACTGATCAGCAAACGAATAGCCTTTGACAACACATCTAAGAGTTTTTAACCTTAGGAAACTAACTCATGTATTTCAACAGATAAATATACATGCATATCATGATAACAATTATATTAAAACGCATAGGGAAAATACATCAAAATTAGGATTTATTTCAAGGTGATACAATAAGGAATGGTCTTCATTTACTTTTCTGTTTTCCTTACTTTCTTTTGCCTTTTTTTAAAAAAAATCTTCCATTATCATTTAAATATGAGAAAATGTTAAATTTATAAGTACAATGTTATGCCCAACTGCTACACATTCAGGCTTTCCTTCCAGGAAGACTCTTGTCTATCTTACATTGACTTATGCCCTTGGATACAATTCAGGATACTGGCCAATCAGAAAGAAGAAAGTAGGTGCTCACTAGGTATTCCTGACACGAGCTTTAAGGGCCTCAAGACGCGCACAGCCCGGAGGGTCCGCAGGTCCACATGGGTGTTGAAGTGGGTTCCTGCAGTGGCCAGGATGCTGTGGGCAGAGACACAAAGAGTCAAGGTTAGCATAGCCTGTCTGTCCCTTCCTGTTTCACAGGGAGGCCGGGCTGTAGCAGGCTCTGCCTGGAAAGTACACAATGCTAGTGCCAGCTGTATGTGGGCGCACCTGAGCCTGGGTGAATCACCAGTGGTGTTGAGTGGAATTAAATATAGCCATCTGGGTTTCACTTTGCAAAAGAGAAGTTACCATCATACCAGAGTCCCAGTCCCAAATCATGAGCAGAATACATGGTCTCCAACAAAAGACTCAAACCTGAACCAAACCTGGTCCCTTACTTTCTTCTCTACCCTGCAAAATTCCTTCCCTTCCTTTCATGCTACCAGGTCCTTATGTTTGTTTGTTTGTTTGTTTGTTTTTTTTTTATTTCAAAGTTCTATATTCCCATCTCCAGTTCTCTTTAGGGAATTTGTCTGGACTAATTTCAGTGTAGAAGTACCTTACTCTTCTCCTCCTTGACACTCAGAATTGTTACCAAATAAATAAATGATACTGACTTTTATGAGAGGGAGTTATGCTGTGGTCACTATACATTATTCATATGTTTTATAATTGCCCCAAAACCATTCTTTGACATAGACTGGGCTTCTTTGCTTTCATTGTCCACCCAGACATACCCAGAAACACACATGTACACACATACACAAATTCACAAGATTACTCTTGGATTGTGTAGAGCAAGTATTAATGAGACAAGCATTGCGTATAACCCAATGACAATGCTGGTACTTTGTGGGGAGAAGGGCACACATACTTGTGAGTTGTACAGAAGAAGACTGAGAATTAAAAGAATTAGGTTTAAGTCTTGGGCCAGAGAACTATCCACTTGATACAAGTCATTCAACCTCTAGGTGCCTTATTTTTTCATCTATAAAATAGAGGAGCACAATGACCTAGTTTTAGATACAAAATTATACCATATTGAAGATGAAGGATGTCATGGGCCAAGAATGGTGATGCATACCTGTAATTACTGTACTTATAAAACTGAATCAAGTCAGCTACAAGTTCAAGGCTACATTAGGCTACACAGTGAGATAATGTTTCCACACCAAAAAAAAAAAAAAAAAAAAAAAAAATAGAAAAGAAAAGAAAAGTGTACTGGCAATTATAAAGTACAAAATTGACATTGTTTAAGACACAAGATCAATAATATTGACTTAAATTTGCTAGCCTATTCTTTGTTTTGTGGGATAATAAGTTTTATTCCTCATAACTTCTCCAAGATTAGCCCCTCTATTCAGAAGCACTGGGAAATGACTCATTTGGAAAACTGCATAGTAGCAAGAATGGTTGATTTAACTATTCTTTATGAAACTTCTCTGAAAGATTTTAAATGTAGGCAAAGAGAACCATATGAAAGGCCTTATGGCTCTAGGAAGCAGATGCAAGATCAACAGGTACTGAGAATGTCAATCCAGGATGACGTAATCACAGCGATGGCTGTGAACACACCACCAGCTACCAACCCCATTGGCTTCCTCACATGGTAGAACACTCGCAACATTAGCGGTTTTAAGGCACTTAATTCTGCACAGCTCACAATAGGATACAGAGAGAATGCCCACACTGGGTTTAGGTTATTGGAACTAGTGGTGGAGATTTCTTTCATCCTTTGGCTTTTATACTTTGGATGGGGGAGATGGCTCAATTTGTTAAATGCTTACATTGCAAGTATAAAAACCAAGTTCCAACCAAGAATTCACATTAAAAAGCCAGGCATGTAAGGCAAGCCCAGTGATCATGAGATGGGAGGTAGAAAATAGGTGGGTTCCTGAAAGGCCAGGTCACCAACCTGTCTCAAAGTATAGAATAGGCCTTAGGACCGATATATGGAAATTGTCCTCTGACACCCACACACAAGCATTATAATACTTGTGCTTGCACCCATTCACACACATGAACACACAAAACACATACATAAATGAAATTTTTTATGTAATTTGTGCTCAGATGATCTCAAAATCAAAATACAAAGTACTCCTGTTGTCATAAACAACTTGTCATAGGCAAGCTTTCTAAGTGCTCTCCATCTTTCCTGACCCCAACTTCCACAACGTCCTCTGAAAAGAAAAGCCAGGGAGGAGCAGAATCTCAGACACTGTCATGATTCTAGCTTACAAAGTCAAACATGGGGAAGGGGATGGCATAACTTCTAAAGGGGAGAAAGAACAAAGAGAAATGTAGAAAATGCAACTGAGAACTGACAGAACTAGACAGAAGGGAAAAGAAAGAAGAGAAAAAGAAAGAGATGTCAAGGATAGGTAAAGGGATAGACACTGCAGGGAAAACAGGGCCATTGTTCTGCTTCCCCCTTGAACAAAGGCTGGACCAACTCTGAGCCTCCTCTGCTGCCCAGGTGCGAGACTCTCCTTTCACTGTGTCTCACAAACAGTATGAGGAATCTGCTCTGCTCAGAAACTAGAGTTCTGTTTCCTAGGATACCCAGACACTCAGATGTTCTTTCATATCACACAAAGAACTGCTGGAAGTGAAAATTTCCTCCCCAGGCCTGGGTATGACAGGTATGCTTTAGAACATGGAGGTACAGGCAGAAGTCAATGTTAAAAGAGGGCACAAACACACAATGGAAAACGAGGTAGGAAGACAGGAGAATGAGACTCCAAGAGAAGTAGTAAAAACGTGGAGTTGCAGACAAGGAGGAAAATAAGAAATAAAAGCTAACGGAGAAGCAAGTGTCAGGGAAGCGTGCAGGCAAGCTCACATGGGAAAGGGTGTATAAGTAAAGCTAACATGGAAAACAGAGGAAAGAATGTGTTATTTATTACAGGAGCTCACAAAGCCAGCCATAAGACACGTTCATGCTCCTATTATCAAAGGTGCTCTTGACTGAATCCATCTCGCACTCCAAACAAGCAACCAGGACTTCACACAGCCTATGTCCTCAATATTTTTTGTTCCTTAGAATTTTTTTTCTTCCAGTGCAGGAAGATTAGCAACAGAGCTTTCAAATTACACACAGCCATTGAATACTTCTTAATTTTTATTGTTCACAAACTCCTGGAGGGCAGGAGCTATAACTTCGCTTCCCTAACTACCTTTTAAAATCTGGGACTCACAGAGTGCAAAGTTCACTGAGGAAAAGGGCCCTACTCTGTGTTCCCATCAGACTCTGCGCTCATCTCCATCAATGCCTCACATTTCTTAGAGGAGTCTGACATTCTCATCCTCCCATCTTCAGGCCTGAGACACCTAACAGAGTCATCTGTACCCCCAATAGAGTCAATTTCAGAGTCACATGGATCCTCAAACCTATCCTCATATCTTACAATGAAAAGTTACTGAACAGAGGCTTGAACCTAACCTTTGCTGATAAAAATTAACAAATTTGAAGAAATCGATTACTGAAAGGGGCCACTGGTATCCTAGGACCTCCTGGTGAGAAGATTAGAATAGCAAAACTGGGATGCTACTCAGACACAGGTATGTTTAAGCATCTAGTAGCACACTGACAACACATTGTCCAACATCTAGAGTGTGATGAGGCTCTTGTAACATACTCCTAAGACTTTGCACCCAAGAGGAAGGGACTCCATATGACAGGATGTCCTCAGTAGGAATGATAGAGAAAGGGAAGAAGAGATGAAGATAAAAAGGCTAGAAGCTACTCCCACCCCAACAAAACCTAAGTGTTGATGTGTATACAGCTCAGCAAACCTCTATTGAGTCTAATTCAGGGAGACAGGTGGAAAGAGAGGTAGGAAATGGCCCCTGACACACAGTCATGTGGAAGCAGTCACATAGAAGAAATAATTACAACACACCATGAGAAGATGTTTAGGAGACACTAAGATGGCAAATACAGAATGTTTACTGTCTGTTAGCATTTTCAAATGTTATATCACTAAATCATTAAAAGTCACCTAACGAGACTGTAGTCTACATTTCATTTCTGTGAAGAAATCTGACCTAGAAAATGTTACAGGGTTAAAAGAAAGCCATCTCCCCTATGACATTTTAGTCAGTCCTTGTTCCATTGTGCCATGTGCTGTGTGATATTTGCCCAGAACTGCTCAGCAACACTATTCCATTGTGTTGCCCAAAATACCAATGTCACCACGTTCTGTCTCTGAACACATAAATGAATTGGATTCCTTTCGTCCCAAGGCTACAAACCACCAAGTGAGTTACCACTGGTCCTTTTGGGACAATCAGAGTCCTCTATGCACCTTTCTCCATGACTATAAGATTGCTTTAATGGCAGGTAGTGTCTGCTGCAATATTTACACACATAAACTTGGAGACACACACACATATCACAAAATTGGAGGAAGGCCACCAAGGATAAGTTCAATTCTGAGTTAATAAAATCCTAAGCTCACTGCTGTCCCAAAAGCTATCTGTACGTATGCTACAAGAGAAGAGGCTCTGTTTTCCAGTTCTTTTCCCCTCATAGGCATAGACTGATGGAAAGTTGTGCATTGAGGTGTTCTTAATTCCTACTACTTCCCCATAGCAGAGGGCAGATGAACAGGAATATACACAGCATGTAGCGCATACAGTCCCGTTTAGTGATTTTTTCGGGCTGGCTGTCCCAGTTTGGCATATCCACAAATATTTTTGTCTTAAGTTGTCAGCAGCCAAGAAGGTGGAGAGAGTATAGGCTAACCTGATCATGATGAAATGACAGAAGTCTTTTTGTCATGGCCTCTAGAGAGGCAGGGAGGAACAAAGGAGGGAAGTGATTCCCTGGATAATTAGAACTTAACTGTCCTCCCCAGATCAGTCACAGATCTTCAGTGTTTCTTTTTGACTTCAGGGTACTTTCATAGTCTCCTTGTCAATCCAGGTCAATACTCTCTTTTTACAGACATCTACTGCTCACTCTAATGTCTGAAAATACCTTGCAAGCAGTGGGCTTCTGTGTAGATAGAACTGTCACATAAAATGTAGGTTGCTCCGTGGAATTTGCGCTTCACATAAAGAACAGAAATAGTTTCTAGCACAACTAAATA